TCAGTCTCCAGACCCCTGGTCATCCTCGTCGCTTTCTTCTGCACCCTCTCGATTTTGCCCACGTCCTTTTTGAAGCGAGGCCTCCGGAACTGCACACAGTACTCCAGGTGCGGCCTGACCAAGGCAGTATGCAGAGGGGCTACGACCTCCTGCGATTTCGATGCTATGGCCCTTTTAATACAACCCAAGACTGAATTTGCCTTTTTTGCCGCTGCATCACACTAACGGCTCATGTTCCGTTTACAGTCCACTCTTCCCCCAACATAGGAAGTTGTCTTATCTAATCAGACCATCGGTCCATCAAGGTCAGTCTTGTCTACTCAGACTGGCAGGGACTCTCCAGGGTCGCAGGCAGAGGTCTTTCCCATCACCTCCGCCGTGATCCTTTCAACTAGAGAAGTCGGGGGTTGAACCTGGGATCTGCTGCATGCAAAGCAGATGCTCCAGCCCTGAGCCACCGCCCCTCCCCTAACAAGGAACACTCACAAAACTGCCTTACACTGAGACAAGCCATCAGTCCGTCAAGATTGTCTGCTCAGACTGACAGCTGCTCTCCAGGGTGTCACATCACCTCCAGCCTGGTCCTTTTGACTGGAGATGTTGGGGATTGAAGGGCCGGTCCTATAGAGGATGGTGTGGAGTTGTTTTCTGTTGCCCCAGAAGGTCGGACCGGAACCAGCAGGTTAAAATTAAATCAAGAAGAGTTTTCAGCTAAACATGAGGAAGAACTTCCTGACAGAGTGGTTCCGCAGTGGAACAAGCTTCCTCCAGAAGTGGTGGTGGGCTCTCCTTCTTTGGAGGTTTTGGAGGCCAGATGGCCATCTGACTGCAATGTGGATTCTGTGAACTTAGGCAGATCATGAGAGGGAGGGCAGGAAGGGTTGCCTCAGTGCTTAGTTCTTGCGGCCCCTTTTTACGCGCCCAGGAAATGCTGATTGCCACTTTGGGGTCAGGAAGCAATCCTGGAGAGTTTTTTGTCATCTTCTGGGCATGGAACAGTGGTCACTGTGGGTGTGGAGGGGGAGGTATTTCTTAATTTCCTGCATTGTGCAGGGGGTTGGACTAGATGACCCTGGAGGTACCTTCCAAATCTATGATTCTGTTAAAAAAAAAGAAAAAAAGAACCTGAGATCTGTAGCATGCAAAGCAGATGCTCCAGCCTGGAGCCATGGCCCCCTCCTGAGGGTGCTTGGAGCCAAACTATGTCCTGTCAGTACCTGGGGACAGAATGGGCCTTATGTTGGCAGGAAGGGCCTTTTGGGAACCTGTGAGTGATAGGTTCCAAAGGCACTGGGATTGTGGGGAAGCATGTCTTTCACATCATAACCAGCCTTAGGCCTGGACATTCGGGTTTTTCTTTTAAGTTTTTTGCCATCAAGTTACAGATGACTTTACGGCAGGGTTTTCAAGGCAAGAGGCATTCAGAGGTGGCTTGCCACTGCCTGCCTCCGGTGGGATGAGCTCCCGCGGGCGATCAGGGCCCTGCGGGATTTATTACAATTCCGCAGGGCCTGCGAGACGGAGCTCTTCCACCGAGCTTTTGGTTGAGGCAGCGGGCGTCCCCACACTCCTTGAGTCGGCCCCTGTTTTATAGCCTGGGATCCCAAATTGTACAGATCTCTGGGAAACTTATTCCCAGTACTATCAACCACTGAGGCAACTGGCCTTTTATAAGAGTTGTATGTTTTACATGCTTTAACGTGGTTTTTATTGTATTTATTTTGTTGTGTTATATTTACATTGTTGGAACCCACCCTGAGCCCACAAGGGGAGGGAGGGATACAAATCTATAATAATAATAATAATAATAATAATAATAATAATAATAATAATAATAATAATAATAATAATAATAATAATAATAATAATAATAATAATAATAATAATAATAATAATAATAAT